CCAATGTGGACTATCAAACGAAAGATATCGTGTACAATGAGCACGAAAAAGTGAACGCCCTACTACACCTGCACGCACGTATTGCCACCGAATTGTGGCTATTTTGTACCAGTCGAGCTCATCGAGCCAAAGCATGTGGAAACACGGCATTCGTGCTGCTTACAGTCGGTCTGATAGGATTGTTTGTGGGTTATGTGTTGATGATTTTCAATCGGAAAACGATGATTATCACCACAATCGGTTGTACCACTCTGCTCCAGGCCGCGTTCGCATTGATCTATGCGGCCTCGATTGAGTATAACNATCGTCAGGTACAATATATTAACGAGAAAGAATACCGGTACGTGTCGTACAAGGGACGATATTTTGCACCCTCACTGAGTTTAAACTATCAACCACTGGTGGGTGTTTTGATTTCCTACGTGTTCGCTTTCATCCCAATGGATGCGATTGGATTGACTTTATTGGTAAAAAATGCAGAAAATCTGTGACGGATACTGTGAGAAAATTAACGACTGATCTGAGTCGGATATACGATACTCGTTGTCAGAATCCTAATTGTCTTTCCTGATGTTCCTTTACTTATTTGACCACTATACGAATAACCAAACACATTCCAAAGAGAGTTGGTAAAATTGAAAGTGAAGTCGATAACCGATGATTATGTGAACACCAAACTACCCACGATCATCGATTGTAGAACATCTTAGACGAACAAGACGATACACCGTTGCTCCCCTGTTTGTCTTTAAACCCACCGTTACGTAATTATAATGATAAACTTTTGGCAAGGAATGAAGCGTTGGTTATTTGATTAGATCGCCCGGTATGATGCACATAATAGTTGTTGACCCTATCGATCCACTTACCGTAAAATGAATCATTTACTTGCATTGATTGATTTGACTGACTATCTGTCGGACTTCACCTTCACGAACAATCCTCAGTTCATTCAGTCAACCATAAAGTTGGAAGCACTAGACTCGAGTTTCCCTCCTGTCAGAGCTCATCAGCAGTGCATATCCACCGTCCCGTCCAGTATTTGAACTCCGGATTCATCGCATGGAAGGTGTGTGCATTACTATTGCACCAAACACCTGATGCCATAGCTGAACTTAATTGCCATTTTACGTTTGTTCAGGTGTCAGTGACAGTCAATTAGTAATACCGTCTACGCTTTGTACGCGCATGCTCTACCAGCTGAGCTACGAGGCCACACCGATAGCACTGATCTTTTCACATTCGAATTTACCCATCTAACTTACAGAGGTATGTGGCATCCACCGGTTAGCATGTAAGCTGACTGCCCCGACAGGTTTTCCTTAGAATTCGCCAGATTCTACCGAGTGAGCTTCTAAGACAAGGTTAATTGTTCAAATTGTTGTCTGATAGATTTGAAGTTTGTACTGAACCTTTCACGATCGACATACAAACTTCAAATCTGCCAAACAACAATTTGAACAATCAGTGATAGTCAATCAGGTGGATATGTACTACTGATGAGCTCTGGTTAGAGCGAAACTCGAGTCTAGTGCCTCCAAGAGTGTGGTTGATTGGATGAACTGAGGATTGTGCGTGAAGGTGAAGTCCGGCAGATAGTCCGTCAATCAGTCAATATCACTTATCTCACACCACTACTCACAAGTGATTCTGAGTTAAATCTGAATTTTACTTGTATGTTCGGTCATTTTCATTGACTTGTACATGTTCGTTCACTGTGACTGATCAGTCCAATATAAGTTCAGATTCGTTTACGCTCGCGATTGAGGCGATGAAACAATATGTTCAAATCTCGTGACAACGGTCTTCTTTCGGTATTGATCAAATGGAAAATGGGAACTCAGTGATCCGAACAAAAATACAGTCAATGGTTGGAAAGAAAGCGGCATTTGGGTAAAATAGGCTCACGGTGAAGAACGTTTCACGGAGACAGATATTGTATTAATCATCCCAACATAAATCAGTTTTTAGTTTTATTTGATTAAGACCAACGTGAGAATAGTCACATTAAATACACCACACACCTATAAAAAAGCAGATTCATATGGAGTTTACTTGGTATTCTGTTTCCCTTTCGTCAGTGACTAAAGATGTATGATATAAAACAGAAGGGGGAGCTTGGTTCTCTTTTTGTTTATGCAAGATCAAATATTTCGGAATTCACAACGCTTGGTGGACTGGGAACGATGACACACTCCTTCGATTCAACTAGCCTGCCTAATTCTATTTAGACCCCATGAAGAAGTCTAACGGTGATGAAGTCTCTTTCGTCCAATCATAATCACCGTTAATTGCTTCGTGTGGTAAGTGGCTGAAATGCAACGATGACCGTAGTGAATTTCGAACCCCAACCCCCTGTTCCCACTCAAGTGAATCCTTGTGAGATTAATTAAGATATGGTGTGGATGAAACACACGTAGAATGCAGATGCGAAATCCAGGATACAGGGAAGGCTGTCCCTAGGCTATCTCACCTTATTTGGTGTTGCAATCCGCGCGCAGATACACTTACGGGTGAGCATGTGACGGAGACAGACTGGTTGTGTAACCATGTTTTTGCACTTGCTGCTTGCTAGCATTTGTCCCCTGGATACATCTGTAGCGCCTCCGCCACGACATCCGGCTGTCCATAAAGGGATTGAGTGCGTGCCGCGGCAGTTCAGCCAGTTCTGCTATACACTGCAAAAACTTGGCCATTAGGAAAGTAGGATGAAGATAGACTTGGTTCTTGAAAACCCTTGTCTACGCCGTATTACACGAGTCTGATGAGACAATTGGACAAGCAATGCTGAGGTTTGGTGTGAAGTTTTAAGTAACCGTAGGCGCCCACTGGAACACGTGATCTAACTCCATAGACTTCCCTAGTTTGCACATGTGTTACACATGTCACCAAATAGGTTATCACTGCGTGCGCTGTATGCCGAGGCAGGTAGTGGGTGGAAAAAAGCCAAGGATGGTCAAAAAAGATTGGGAAAGAGGGTTTGGGAACCCCAATCAGGAGACTTGGTCATATAGTTTGCGTTATGTTCCCTGGATGGGGACCTCGGAGTCATCATGCTCAAGGGTTAGAGATGCTGAGTGTGATAACCAGTGGCGCTCGTGCATCTTTTCAATTTCTTTGAAACCTTGGTCTACTGGAAATGTGCATTTTCTCTCTGACTCTAAGATTAACTTTCCTAGCGTTCGTCTACTCCCTCAGTAAAATGAAAGCAAAAGACAGCAACCAAAACCGGCGCACGAAAGTGCAAGGCTAATAGTTATAGGAACTGAAACTTCTATGGAAACTACAATTTCCAGTTGAGCATTTTAACTGTCACTTCATCTGTGTCCCAGAATCGATGAATGGATTTATTCGAATCTATGATGTACGATTGTATAATTACAAATAATAATTTCCCTCCCAGAGATGAATTCACCCATTGGCAAAATCAAATTACTTTTGAATGGAATTAGAAATAAATGGCATAACAATTTTGTTTATTTCACCGTACACTTTTCAAAATGTGTGTTTGTAAGTTTGTTTGTTTTATGGGGCACGGGGCTTCAATAGGCAGACCGTACATCATTTGCTCCACTGACTTCTATTCTGGGCCATATCTCTCAGCGTCCCTAACCAACGACAATCCTCATCCCTTGGGCCCCAACACGAAAGGCGGGCTGCACCAACCAAAGCCAAAGCTGAAGCCAGATTTTTCATACCTCTAGTCCATGTCATGGTCTGACCGCCGCGGTGCTTCTTTCAGCCTTGCTCGACGCTTGCAAAGAGCACGGGAAAGTAGTCGATGGGTAGGCATACGCAGTACGTGACCAAGCCATCGGAGGCGGTGTAGAGCGATTACTTCCGTTAGAGAACGACTATCCGCACCCAACACACGAAGACGAACCTCGTCATTACTCACTCTGTGTTCTCACCCGACGCGAGCAACGCTTCGGAGACTTCGTGGTTGCTTTTGCTCAAACACAATAGTTTTAAAGATTATTTTAAATTATTTTCTGTCTTATTAAATTATACTCTCTATTATTTCTCTGTCTTCTATAAATGTTGATTATGTTTCAATTTGTGACCTTGGCGATATAGCTGGCTGTTCTAAAGTACACAAAGTACTGAACCAAAATGAAGGTTTGCTTGGACTGAGTGCATACAGAATCGTGGTCTGCTTCTCAAAGAAAATTATCTGTGCATAGACCTATGATGCAAGAGCAGAAGTATCAGTGGAGCAGAGATAGTTGTGTTCTGCAATTCTCCAAGTGTAAGAAGCAAACTAATCCGTTCGGGAACATTTTCGGGACCACTTGGAGAAGANGGAGAAGATTAAACGAAATATTAACATCTCGCGACATGTCTTCTTTCGGTCTTGATTGGATGAGTTCCAGAATAGCGTAATTTTCCCCACCAGGAATTTCCAGATGACATTTTAACACTTACGGAACATACAGTGTAGATTTATCTGTGTCAAATATTTCACCGTTTCATTTTTAATGTCATTTTCATTACCATTGTTGCTATCATTCTGTTATTATTATTGTTATTGCCATCATTTCATTTTTATGACGTCCCTTTTTATTAGGATTTTGATCATTTTATATACTACTTGTAAGTAGATACTTTATAATCGCAGAATGTTATCCAGGGACAAACGTCCACCGCTATTTCAATCTGATTGTCTCATCAGCAGTGCGAATTGCAATACTTTGACGCACGCTTCGTGATGCCCGTGATAGGCTCGCAACCGTGGGTTATGGCGAGTAAATTCAAAATGGAAAAAAGTCCGATCGCCGGTTGCTCGGCAGCAATTGACGTACAACAGCTTGATAGAAACCCGCTGAAAACATCAAGTAAGAAATTGATATTTCAAGATACCGACGACAGATGATGTTAAAATTAGATCCTTTTCGGGGTTGGCGTCTTCGAACGGTTTTATAGCCCACGTTGGAACGTCCATAGCTGCAACAGTACCATATATTGTGGTTGGTCTCGCCAATATAAACCTCAGTTTTGCGCTACCCTATAGCTGTAACAAATTGGCATATTCTGCTCGTTTTTCTTGAACACTTTCCGAGTTCCGTTTTCGATCACGGACGATCAGCTTCTTACCCGAATAGTGGAGTCCATTCAGAAATTAATCAATAAATCGAAGTCTTGTTTATCAGCGTGCCCGCTATATCCATCTTCATTTCTTCCTTTAACTGCCTCAATGTAGTTCTAGGGTTCTGTTGTAGGGTTTATCAACGCTGCAAAATTTGATGAAATTACGACGGTCGAGACTCAAGAATTACGAGTTTTGTTCGAATTTTGATACGAAAAGGTGTACCAAAAAGGATGTCTTTTATGAACGGTGCTTATCATCCTCGAGCTATTAATGTATCCCGCTCTCATGAACAAGCTTCACTCTAAGTGAAGCTACGGAACAATAAGCATTTACTTTTTCTTCGTATCACTATGATTTATCTCAGGGTTTGTGAATACAAAACAATATACCGTTTGTGTCACA